AGATAATGCCAGAGGATGCTTGGGAGATCCAACTGCACCCCTGGAGGGTGAAATTCTAAGAATGCTGCCTGAAGTGGAAGAAGTTGAAATTATGGGAAAAGAATAATCTGCCACTTCCAGTTTCACTCCTTCAGGAGTTCTGTGGATAAAGCAGCTGTTTTTTTTCAATAAAAGAATATACATCCAGCACCAGTGCCAGATATCAAACTGAAAATGGAAACTGCAGTTGCTGTTCTAATGGATAAGAGAGCCATAAGAACTGGTAGTTGCAGGCTCTCCCAGATTTTTGCCCTCAGAGCATGTTACAACACCAACATGAAGAGAAGACTTCCAGGAGATGGGGGCCCCTTTCACTGTGATCCCAGACTCACTACCCAAAAGTCAACAGAGATGTTGGCTGGTACCATGTGCACTGGAGGAGGTGACAGAGATGGGATGTAGTTATACGTCCACTGATACTCATCTCACAAAGAGAGCAGCCAAACTCTTTGCTTCTGATCTGAGATTGCTTGTTAACAGAGAGAGAAGAAAATCCTTCATTAATAAGACTGCAAACCACAAAGTGCATCCAAATTCTAATCTAATTCATGCTAGCAGACCTGTGATCTAAGCCTTGAAGTTTATTTCTTTTTTTTAACCTAATCATTAAAATCTCTCCTTTCTCCACTATTTTACATTTGAACTTCAGCCAGTGTGGTGAATCAGAATGAGGAAAGTGATTAGCTGCTGTGTTTGTCCATTTCAGTTGCAGGTTTCTGACCACCCATATTTGAAGTAATTATTGCCTAAACTCACACTTAATTCACCTTTCAAGGGCAAACTATTCTGTGAATATTTGAAAAAATTCCTAAAGGCAAGGATGCAAAAACACCATTTCAAACACACTTTAATTTTTTTTTCTCAAGACCTCATTAACTAATGAAGAAATATCTAACAGAAATAGGATTAACTTCACAGGAGGGGCAGTAATAGTATATTTTGCTCCTTCTAGCTATACTTGCATATACATCTGTTTTTTATCATTATCTGTCTCTTTTTATCATGCAGTTTCAGCTTACTGCAGAAGCTCAAATCTGTAAATGTTTGGAAAAATGCTGATGGATAACTAGTAATAATCTGAAAAATAATCTTATACTGAACGTGCTATGTAAAAGTACTGTTGATCTGTTGTTTTTTTCATAGGGGTCCTTATGCTAATATGTTTGAAGTTGGCACTATCACTTGAGGGAATTTTTAAAATATATCATACTTACAATCCATTTATCTCTTCCTTGTATTTTTTGAAGCCTCCATGTCATTTGCAGCTAAATATCAACATGATTTGTTTTTGAACAACTCTCTACTCAGTCAGCACCTCACTTTTTTCTGATTTCTCTTCTGAAATGCACCTCAGATGTAGTATTACCTCAAGAGACAGTTCCAAACCTGCTAGACCCACCATATATTAACATTATTGAATTTCAAGAGAGTTTTCTTCCAGATTGAAATTATTTAGCCTGTTCCTAGCTCTATCGTGAATTAAAACATGTTCTAAATCCCCATATGAATTAAAATTTTAGGGGTCAGCACTCAGCTGCATTCTGATTCTGTACACTGGGAAATGTACAGCAAACTGCCCATCAGTTCCAGTGCCTGTGTGCCTCTAAAGAAACTGTATTTCCACGCCTGAAATCCTTTTCTATGACAACATTAGTCAAACGCACCAAGTGGGAAATCTAATTGGTAGTAAAAAACAATTCTTGCTGTCGTGACCTTGTCTACATTGTGAGTATTGCCACTTTGAACACTGGTTCATTTGAATTGGGATTAGGGGTGATAGGAATTAAAGGGTCAATTATCTCCAGTAGCTAAAATTAATCTCTTCATAATTCAATCCCTTAGCACTAGTCTATCATATCCTAAAGCAGTATTATGACTAATGAAGCTAAATTGCAATAATAAACTGTTTTATGAAGGACAATACTTGGATCCAGATGTAAATATTTAACAAAAATTTGCTAGGAATATTCTAAAAATCAAAAGTAAATGCAGCTCTTACGTGCAGTTTTCTTTATAAATACTTTCTTCTGAAAAATATGCAAGAGTCCAAATCCATCTTTAAACAATCATTGTCTCCTTTCTAATAATGCTATATGAATAGACTGGCACATTGAGATGTCACAGCTAGAGAAGACAGTGACACAGTGTTCTGTCCAATAAGGTGGGTGAATGCTACACCCCTGACCACAGGGAAAATCAGAAACTTTGTATGTCAAAAACTGTACAGATTTCCCCAGCGTTTCTCCATGTACATCATAAACGAAAAAAGTGCACTGAAATTAGTAGCAAGACTACTTTTTCACTGTGATGGGAGCTGGACTGGGTTAACACTTCAGAGACTTTTTTGCTTACAAACTGTTTATTGGCAGAAGTTGTAACTTGCATGATGATTTAATCACATATAAGCAGAGGGAAATCTTATGGTCAAAATAAACCTTGTGACCTTATCTAGACCAGAATTTGACATAGGTCATTCTGACCTGTGTTACTGCTTGTAGTGTAACCTAGTTGTAACAGTTATACTTAGACAGACAGGTGAGTGAACCACAAAGCATTCTGTAACAATAAAACCTTTAACACTGTGAAATGAATATAATAAATACGCTGCTGTAAAGATGTCATGCTGAAGCAAAAAGAATACTATAAAAATCTTCGTTACTGTTTAATTGCTTTGTTAAAAAAATTCTAAATCAACTTTTCCTGACACTCCAATATTGGAAAAAAAAATCATTATTTGGCTTTTATTTTTAGTTGATTAGAAGAGGGATTTGCAAAATATTGTAAGTACATGTAAACACAGTTTGTGAGCGTGGGAGTGTTAACAAGCCACATTGCTTGGACAAATATATATTTCTTTTCACTGCCGTATGCTCTCTTTAGTCATCTGTTAGCGATAAGCACTTAGATGTGCTTTACTAATGTCTACTCATTATAAACAAGCACATCACAAAGACCTTGATAAAACCTTCCCTCTGTCAATACTTCAGGAAAGGAAAGCCCAGCGATTGAAAAACACATCTGGAACCTGCTCTTCATCCTTTAAAGCTAAATCACACCTCTGGAGATGGAAATACTTTCTTTGTCAAAAGACATCTTTAAATACTACATCTATTTTTTCACATACATGTGATGTCAGAATAAGGACATGCATTACCAGAGGCTATAAAATCCTGCAAGCATGAAAAATCTGTGAATTTCACCTTTCAGATGTCTCTGTGTACTTCAAAACTTAAGCTTCCACTGGAAGGAAATTTCTGAACTGTTTCTTTTGTTGTCTGTGTCAATCACTAGGCCACTTTATTATGGAACTGAAACCACAGCACTGGCAGAAGTGGTCCCTCCACCTCATTTCTCTTAATGAGGTATTAAATTTGAAGCCTTAAAATTATTGTCTAGACCCACATTTTGAGAAGATGGTCACATCTGAAAACATCCTAACTTAGACTGTGTACCTAGATATTTATTTAGCTGTCTTATGAGCAACTCTTACATATGTTTACCCCTCTTTACAGAAACAGCTGTGATTCACAAGGATATATATATATATTTGCTTTGGCCTCTCAAAGATGTAATTTTATACTTCCAAAATCAACACCTTAAATCGTTAAATCACAATTAATCTGAACTGCTAAAATTGACTGAAGAAATATCTTACAAATTAAAGCCATGTTCTTACATTTTTCTTTCGAAGAGTTGCATGCTCCTTCACTCCCAGATACACGGAAATGCATCTCAAAACCTGCCTGTGACACTAGCGAGATCAATGTTTCAATATTCCACAAGGTAAATGACTCCTATACGGTTTCAGGTGATTTCTTAGCTAAGACTGAACATTTGGAAACAGGATTTCCTCTGGACTTTTCAAAGAAAATAGAGTCCATTGTCACATCTGGAGTTCACACAGTGATATCCTGAAGGTTCTCCTTTTCTGACATCACAATATATCCATGCCTATCAACTTAAGCTTTCTTTATCTGCTTTTCTCCCTGTACTACACTGTAGTCACTACAACATTTCTATTTGCTTGTTTTCTCCTGGTCAGAAGCCATTTCATTCTGGGGTTCCACAGCCCCATTCTCTCTAAGAGTAAAGTCTGTCTCAGTCTTCAGGAAAGCTTTAGGAAAATATATCATTTACCTACACTTTTCATTCAGCAGCAGCTGGGATCAGAGAGGTCCAGTAAAGCCTTGTGTTTGCAGTTCCAGTAATACTTGTAT